ATATCTATGTATATATATATGTATATATATATATATATATATACACACACACCCAAATATATACATATACATATATATATAAATATATATTTATATAAGNGGTGTGTGTGTGTGTATAGTATACACACACACACACACACACACTTTATATTTACATATACATATTTATAAATAAAAGTATTAAGAAAGCACACTAAAAACAATTAAACACTGTTTATATAAATGGTCTGGGACTATTTGTTTGTAATAAATACTATTTATATACAGAATATAATTATTAAATTATTAAATGTAACAAATTATGTTATTTTATTTCTTATTAGTTTATATTTTTATATATATTTATTTTATTCAATAACAAATGTTATCTAAAGTTATCTAGTTTAAAATTTGAGGTCATTATGTTTTCAGACGTGACTTTAATATCAACAACAATATTTTTATCCTATTGCAAATGATTTTTCCAAACCCCAGATGCGAGACAAAAAAAAACAAACACCTGCAGCTTTATTAATCTGTTCAGCCTTCTCTCCCTCAGATGCCAGGATCTGAGCCTGTTTGCGACCCTCTGCCACATTGATGGCTGATTCTCTGGTTCCCTCCGACTCCAGAACAGTGGCTCTCTTCCTTCGCTCGGCCTCAACCTGAACATCAGACACATAGGATCAGTTGTATGATTCGCAGCGGTCAATGTAGTTTTACTGTTTGATGGTATTACACTGAAGAACAGATAATCATACCTGCATTTGCATAGATTCTTTTACTCGTGGAGGAACGTGAATGTCTTTAATCTCATATCGTAGACATCGAATCCCCCATTCATCTGACGCCTGGTTTATTGAATGCACAATATTGGAATTCAGTGACTCTCTTTCCTGTTGAAGGACAAAAAATTATTCAGTCACCATTCCATTACTATCCATGGAACATTTTTGTTTACTGTTATTGATTTATCTGTGTGCCTCCATATTTTGTGCCTAAATATTTTTTTTACTGATGGGAGTTGACCAATAGCAAACCACAAACATTCAACCATCCAATCAAATCACCATGAACAAAATTAAGTTGCATCCTTACACTTTTTCTTTAAGGAGGCAAGATGGAAGCATTACTAGTGGTTGCAAAATAATTAGTCATTTAAACTGAGTGCTTTCTCTAAAGCGTATATGATTTCCGAAAAGAGGTCTTTATAAAATGATAATTTAAATTTTGACTCAGATGATTTGTTTTACAACAAATTTAGGAAAGAAACAGTTCTGTTTTGCTAAGAGATGCTAAAACTGTAAATATATATATATATATATATATATATATATATATATATATATATATATATATATATATATATATATATATATATATATATATATATATATATATATATATATATATATATATATATATATATATATATATATATATATATATATATATATATATATATATATATATATATATATATATATATATATATATATATATATATATATATATATATATATATATATATATATATATATATATATATATATATATATATATATATATATATATATATATATATATATATATATATATATATATATATATATATATATATATATATTATATATATATATATAT